AGTATAATAATATAGTATAATATTTAATTAAGTACAAATTGTAATTTATTTTGTACATCCTGTACCATTCATGTAGGTACATCCAAGCCACTGCCGGTATCGATACCTGCAGCAATGGGCTTGTTCAGCAATTTTTTTTTTAATTCATAAATCAAAAGTTCAAGTGAAAAATAAGAGATCTGCAAAAATCTAAATTTTATTCGCACGTTTAGTATCTTGAAAACAATTACAAGTGCCTCTTTTAGAGAAGAATGGCGTGTATAGGCGTTACGTTAATATACGCATAGCCTTGGTGATTGTACGCGACTCAAGGCTAGTTATAATAGGCTGTATTTACAGAGTATTGTTTGTAGGTATACATTGTTTGATTCTATACGGCTTCAAAAATGTGCTTGTTAGTATTGCATAATTTTAGAATATAAAATACGAAATAAAAAACGGATAAATGATTTATCTGTTTTTCATCCGACTAAAGGTTAATGAGAATGGCACGACAACAAGGCAAACAGAGATATGATTTTATCCGTCAAAAGCAAGATTCTATAATGTTTTTGGTTTTTAATATAAGTGATGTTGACATAGAGACTATCTTTATATAAAAATCTTAAAAAACATTTTTGATTACAAAAAAATAAACCTACATTAGACAATACACACATAAGATAACACAGTTGCCATTTTTACTTCTGTGAACCTTTTTAAAATAAATTGCAAAATAATAATACTTACTACTATCATACCCTTACTGCTACCATCTTTGGTTTTACCTTTTTATAATAATAATTAAAGTTTCTATATAAAAATAAGCAGTAAGGACTTTGCAATAAGACCAATTTTGACTTTGTCTTTTTATACCATTTCTTTTTTTCTCAACTAATAGATTAATAGGAGTATTAATACATTTAAATACCAGTAATCAATCAAGAATAATTTATTGCTATTTAAATTTAAATGAAAAGCCCCAATTATTTAAAATGAATTACCATTATTAAACTAATGACGTAAGTATCATTGCATTCAATGCATTTCTGTACTAATGTGGATACTCTTTGTCAGTAAAATATTCCATATTCTTAAATGTATCAACTTGTGATATGTGAATAGAGGTAACTTTATTAAACCGAACTTTATTGTTAGTTAAACATTTTTACTCGGATTACCACGCTTTATCTGAACGGCTGGTAGCGGTCACGGTATATCTCATAGTCCAGAGTTGCGTATAGTAACGTCATTAGCCGCAACATTGTGTTTGTGATTAATACAAGTTTCAATCTCTTGTATCTTAAAAACTAAAATAGTTAATAATATAATGATAATCTCTTAATAACATAATTTAGTATAATTACATAAAAAAAAACACGTATTAACACGCATTCGATATTGAAGCAATATACACTTAATGATTATATTATATTTATCATACTAATATATAATAATGTATATATTGAAGGATTTGAACAGAATTACTTGTTTAGCCCTCTAGTATTTAAATATAGGTCGTAATAATTTTTTTTAACATTAGCTCATCATGCCTATACATCCAAGAACAAAACAAAATATTTATTACTTCTTTTCAGATCCATTACCGTTAAACGAATGTGGTATATGTAGTCAACGTGGGGATCAGCATTTATTGGCTAAATGTGATACATGCTGTTTATACTATCATTTAAATTGTCTTAATCCTCCTTTAACACGTTTGCCAAAAAAATCAAAATTGTACGGCTGGCAGTGTTCTGAATGTGATAAAACGTCTGATTCTGAAGCAGAACAAGTAAAAATGCCTCGCAGAAGTCGTGTTCAGCAAACTAAGGAAAGCAAATATGATCACGAATTTTATACTCCCAAGGTCAAAATTAAACCTGTGGAACCTAGTTTGTTTCCTTCTGAATCTATACCCGTTCATGTAAAAAGTTCACTTTTTTCATCCGATTCCACTTCAAATTTTGTTAACCCTGACGCATTAGACCTGAATTCGAAACAAGTAGATTTGAATATACCTTCAGATCCTTTAAAAGATCCCCTATTAAGTACTGGCACCGACGGAGAAATGATGGTGATTTCCTCTAAATCTGGTAAAAAAAGAAGACGTGAAAAACATCGTTCACGTTATTCACCCACTTTAGAAGGATCATCTAAGGAGCATAAGCGTAAACGAAAGAAGAAAAGTTTGGATATTGATGAAGTACCCACACCTCATCCTAGAATAACTATAAAGGTAAACATTTGATCTACTTTTGACTAAAATTCACAATATCATTTTGAATAGATTTAATTCTCTTATTTATAACATTCTGTAATATAGATACGTCCAATCCCTCTTCCTGCTGGTCAGACTGTTTCTTCTACGAACCCTCAACGTTTCTACGTTCCAGACGAAAATGCTCCACCTATACTTTCAAAAAATGAAGCTGAACATTCTGCCATACAAAAATTAACATCCAGTATTAGCGACGCACGAAAAAATGTAGTTAATTCAAAAAAAAAAATAGAGTATCCACCACCCATTAATATGTGTGATGTTTGCAAAGGGGAAGGAAATAATACTAATTTAGTTAGGTAAGATTTTTTCATATACATACGTTAATAATATGATGATGTACGGCAACACATCGCTTAAAGAAAAGTAGTCACTTTTAGTTATAATTTTATAATACCATTTAACTTGGTACGTTTTTTGATATAAAAGTGGAATATTTCTAGAATATCTATTCTGAAGAACACTATAATTATAGACTCCATTTTCCCCTAATACAATGTGTAAAAATTAGAGTTGGAATCTTTCGTCTCTAGTTCGCAGGTTTCTTCAGGACTACAATAGTTACAAATTGATGTTAATATTACATTAAAATACAATATTTTAATATGACTTAGTAGTAGTGTTGTATGAATACGTATTTATTTATCCGAATATTTTGTTTGATAATACGTATTCGGAATAATCTAGTATATTTAGCATGTCTATGAATTCGAACGGGTTCGAGCGTAGCCTATTCGGTCGTCAGTATACGCACAGCGCACGCAGCAATTTAGTTATATGACAAATATTGGGCACGGATGCACCGATTAAAAATATTACATATTATTTATTCATCGAGTTCCGACTGCCGGCCCCGATTATAATACGTAATACTTCTCCGTGTCCTATACGTAACATACTAGTTTTTGGCATGCTTATGGACTTTGAACACCCAATACAAAACAGTATTATTCGAATTATTAATTGATATGTAAGCTGTAAATGCAAGAATTAGGAATAGTATTTGCGCATAATACTTTAGTGTAAATATAAAGAAGTTATATGTTTATTGCGTTATGCACTGCCGTGCCACGTCTTTGTTCGAAATAATACTCGAACGATATTTTCATTTTAATTTTTATTAAAAACAACTATTTACAAAAGCTAAAAAACTGCACAAAACAACTAATATTAAGGTGATGTTAGTGTTGATTTTTTATATTATGACTACTAGTTTGATTTTGCTTTTTGGTTAAATGATGTATGCGTGTTGTCTGATAAAGGAATCAATTGTGAATGCCTTTTTTGATACATTTAAAATTACCTGCTTTTACAATTTTCCCTTCAAGGGGGTGAGTGAGCAGAGCGGTTTGGTTAGTCTTCAAGGTTAAACTAGAGAAAGTGGAATTTTAAGTAGCAAGTAAGTGTCTACAATCGGAAATACCCAAGAGGCTACTTAGGGGTAGCAACATTGAAGATTGTACCACAGTTACTCAACATAGCCGCCCACCTTGGAAACTGCTGTTTTCAACTGAAATATCAGCCTATTGCATGTTAATACATACCTATGTATGATTGAATCGAAATACATATACTTATGAGAATAACTACTACATACATGTGTGAATGACTATACAGACATGATTTGATGGCTCTTACAAACTGAATGGGCATTAATTGTTACTTATACTACATACTTATACCATATATATCGAGTCAGTTATTACTTCTATACGTCTATCGGTAAATAAAATACGTTTTTGCCACTACACGTTTTAAGAAGCTTTCTACTAGACACCTTAGTCGAAACAACTCTCACTGTCCCTTCACTTCCAGGATGTGTATCAACTACACGACCCAATTGTCATTTTAGAAAAGGAAGATTTTCTTCCTTAATTAGTATGAGAGTACCTGGTTTAGTTGCATTCTGATAATTTTCCTTCTACTCGGAACGGGTCTGTAGTTAGTGAACATACTCCATCTCTTCCAGAAGTCCTACTGCATTTTCTAGATGTGCTGGAATCTGCTTGATCTGGACTTCTTGACGTCAAAAAGAGAAAGTTCTGACATTGCTGTCACCTTTCGACCGATCAAAAAGTGCGCCGGGGTCAGGGTATCCAAATCTGTGGGGTCAGTTGACAATGGGGAAAGGGGACGGGAATTTAGTACCCCTTCTATTTACGTTAGCAATATATAAAACCCCACCAAAGTTAATTTCGTACTGCCGCCTACTCGTTTCAAATGAGTGTTTCTGCATTTCACGCCAGCCTTCCAAAAAACCCCCAAAATAAGGCGATCGGGGGGGGGGGGATAAAATGTCAAGTGGTACCTGAATTACTCATTGCGTTTTGTATCTTGGTGGAATTTACCGTATTAGTTAGTATTTTGTAAAAGTACACGTAAGTCTTTATTTCTCTACTCCGCTTTTTTCTTTAATATAGATAGGTTCTGCATAATCGATTCCACAATTATAAAATGCGGGTGCAGGATTTGTCTTGTAGCACCTTATGCAATTGTGAATTACCTGCTTTATGAGCTTTTTGCGGCAATGGGTCAGTATTTGTCCTTTAAAGAAGCAAGATTTGGGCCACAATGTAGTAAAGGTTTGTGTTCATTTTCGATTATTAATTTCGTTAAATGGCGATTGAATATCGGATGTGTTTCATCGAAATATACTATTTCTTAGACGTTTTCTATCAGAATTAATAAGGCGTTTTGACGTTCGGTACTACTTAAAGCTCCTGACTAGGTTGCTTTCAAGAGTTGGCTATAAAAAACGGAGACAGTTACTGATATTAATTACTATCAATTAGAAAAATTAGAAATTAGGGTAAATTATTTCAGGATAACGGATGTATGTGCGGCAACTCTTTGCTCTGGGGCTTCAGAGGTAATGAAATTTGAAATAGGTCAACTACTCGTATCACTTGAAAGCCACGTAGGTCCGTTCCACCATATAATTGCATTAACCGACTGTTTTGGTTCTAAACTGCGTGATATTAAGTCTGCAGGGTTGTCCTTTGTTGATATGTGCATCCAGTCATCTTGATCTATTAAATTATGTATCTCGGAAACACGGTTTGCTACAAATGTCTTCCATTTATTAGGAGGTCCTGCTATCATCGCTAAAGTTATTATGGAGTCACACCAATAGAAGTGCTTATCGAAACTAATGTTTACTGTGTCGTTTATCTTTGCAATTAATCGAGCTAAACGTAAGGCTCCGCATAATTCAAACCTCGGTAAAAATATCTTTTTACCGGCGCGACTCGTGATTTGATGCACAACAAAGAGACCGTGCAATTTCCCAAATTATTTATGCTCCTAACATACACGCAAGCTCTGTAAGCCTTCTCCGAAGTCGTGTACTTCTACTATATTCGCTTGCCTACATATACCTACATAATTTCAAATTATTACTTATGCCCTTTAACACAATTGCACTATTGGATGTCCATTTTAATTATGTTATTTGCTATGAGGAATTGCTTCACACACCTCGTGGCAAGAAATGAAGCCGCGGCCTTATTACCTGCATTTGTTGAATAATCGATATGTAACATCGTGTTATGTTTTTTCAGGTATTTTTTATAACCCTGTGATGTGCATTCTCTTGTTGCGTGATTTTGCGTAAGACAATTTAAACAGAGTCGCAACCTTTTAGTCTCTGCATTTCGTTCATTGTATAAATACTTCGCAGTTAAAAATGGCATGATTTGTAGCTTTACATAATTGACAGTAAGACCTAATGGAACTTACATGTGCTTTGGCATGATTATAATTAATGTGCTTGTTACTTTGACTATGATTGTTGCCACTGCTAAATAAACTTTGATTTGGTTTATTCACTTCTAAAGAACCTAACATACACCATCTTTTTTCTAAAAAGCTGGTAAATTCGATAAAAGTAAGAAATTCATCAGCCGGTTTGAATGATTCACATTCTAAGCGGGTTGCATTATTTAATTTTGCACTGATTATATAAATTAAAAGAATGTCTGCTGTAGGTTGGTCATTTTTTTTTATAACATAACATAATTTCCTTTTATTTTAGTTTTACGCGATTTCAAAACAAATTAGCTTTGCAAAAATGACAATAAATTAACTTGAACGATTTCCATGTATTAATGCATTTGCAATTAGGTAATACGTAGCAAAGTAGCAATCAATTCGATTGCCGAGGCGAGCCGGGCCGTTCCATTTCCCTTTCCAGTTTCCGTATCTCTAATTCGTAACAATCTGCTTCGTATCCATTCGAAGTACGAGGGTGGATTGATAAGTTTCCGGCCTAACCAAGAGATGACGCCACTAGGCCTACCTTGAGGTGACATTCTATAGTACCATCCTTGGATAGCTTGTAGCTATAGTTTCAGCCCGATCTCCTTGCTAGTGTAGGTTTGACAGCACGCTGAACAAGACGCCTCTGTGGTTTTCGTAAAAATGGAAAAGCAGGAAAATCGTGCTGTCATCAAATACTTTTATTTGAAGGGGTTAACGCCGAAGGAAATTAAAAAAGAGATGGACTCAACACTGGGGACATCCTCCCCGTCATATTCAACCGTTAAGCAGTGGGTTTCCGAGTTTAAAAAGGGTCGTGTGAGCACCTCTGATGGGCCTCGCTCAGGACGCCCCGTTGAGGTCACAACTCCAGATATGATCGAAAAAATTCATCAAATAGTGCTGGGAGACCGCAGATTGAAAGTGCGTGAGATAGCTGAGACCTGTAAGATGTCATATGAACGTGTGCAACATATTTTGCACCAACATTTGCATATGGAAAAGCTCTGTGCAAGATGGGTGCCGCGTTTGCTAACAGTCGACCAAAAATTGATTCGAAAAAACATTTCTACCGCAAATTTGTCATTGTATAAGCGTAATCCAAGCGAATTTTTGCGTCGATTCGTAACCGTTGACGAAACGTGGGTCCACCACTACACTCCTGAAACCAAAGAACAGTCTAAACAGTGGATTGGACCAGGGGAACCAACTCCAAAGAAGGCAAAAACAATTTTTTCGGCGAACAAGGTTATGGCTACTGTTTTTTGGGATGCAAGAGGTATTATATACATTGATTACCTTGCAAAGGGTAATACTATCACTGGTCAATACTACGCAGACTTATTGCAACGTTTGAGCCACGAGGTGAAAATTAAACGACCTCATCTGGCGAAGAAAAAAATCTTGTTTCATCACGATAACGCACCAGCGCACACGTCAATCGTTGCGACGGCTAAAATCAACGATCTAAAGTTTGAATTGATGCCGCACCCTCCTTACTCTCCAGACCTAGCCCCGAGTGACTATTTTCTGTTCCCTAATC